CAGGACGAGGCCTCCCTCACCCTGCTCCTGCATGTGCCCGGCATCCGGCCCCAGAGCCTCAGTGGGGCTGTGGGCACAAACCACTACCATCTCCGCTTCTCCAGTGGCACTGGCGCCTATGCCCTCTTCTTACAGTTTCCTCCCGCAAACAGGCTGTCGTCCCCCGAGACCAGCGTTAGCGTCTCTGCCCACAACGCTGCCGTTGGGCTCGCCAAGGCCCCCGGCAGCACCGGGCCCTGGGAGAAGTTCTGCTTCGGCCTTGATGCCTCCGCTCTGCAGGTAACAGCTTCAAAATGGCAGGGTTGGTGCGTCACACTCCCCAGAGTGCCACTGCTTCCCTGCAGTGCGTGACTTCTGCTTGGATTCGTTTATGAATGGTGTCTCGGGGAACTGTTAGGTTATCGGCCTGAGTTCAGAAGTTGGTAGTGATGGAAGCTGCTTCCCTCAGAGAGCCGTTACCAGATGTAAGTGGAACAATCTAATTAGCGCTAGTCTTGTACGAGCAGTACGAAGGTCACATTGCAAAGCTGACATATTCGTCCTTGGAATTGAAATGACTTCTACCTCCTGTGCTGATTTTTTTCGAAGGGAAATTATGATGAGTGCAAACGGAGCCTGCCCTATGTCCTTAGTATCAGACGGTGTAAGCTGCTCATGCAGCCTATTCACCTGAAGAAAGGAGATGTCTATAATACGCCAGACCTACGCAGACATGCACAGAGTGTTGTGAAATGCAGGTGTGTGTGGAGTGAGTGTACCTGTGGCCGTATTTCAGGACAGAACTCCCATTTACAGCCGTAGGAACAGCCATTATTAGTTCAACCAGAGCAGTACAGCAAAGAGCAGCTGTGAACTGCTGTCGATTGCCATTTTGCTGGGCTAGTTCTTCATCTTCTTACTAGTCTGGATAGGATTCTAGTTTAGACGTTGTATTATTTTATGGGTCATTAGGCAGCGATGCTCGCTGTGGTGGGAGGAGGTTGGCACGCTTGCCGAGAACTGGCAGTGTCCCTGCGAAGGGATGCTCAGTGCTTCAGCCATGTGATTTTTGAGATTGTCTTTATTTTAGAATAACAAAATACTTTGCAGGTTGGGTCACAGACTGTGGGAGTGCAAGTCCAGAAAACTGGCAGGCTTAAAGTATATCCACTGGGACAGTGGCTTGGAGTATCCTAATTGCTCCATCTCTACAATTAGAAAATGCTGCAAGATTCTGAAAGATATTTATCCGGTTAGTATATGTGCAGCTGAAACGTCACATTTTATTTCCCATTTAGCAGGCTGCATATCTTTTCTGTACTAGCAACTCCTCAGAAGGAGGAGCTGATCGTTTCAGGTAAGTATCGAAGATGATGAATTTATTGCGAACCACCTATGCTGAGCTGTTCGCAGTGCACTTCCATTGCTTTTACCGGATCAGGAGCCTGCAAGTCTGTGCACGCGGGGCCGCGAAACATTTGGCACTACTGTTAATTGGTGTGATCAAGTACTGGGTGCCGATGTGACGTCAAATAAACCCTCGTGCAAACTACTGCCCTTCTCTGTATAGGTACAGAAGGCATGGGGTAGAAACTACAGGCGTTGTATCTGCTTTTTCAGATAGTCTGAATATCCATCAGTGTGTGTCAGTGTGCTTGCTTGTTTTGTGGCATGCAGGCCTAACCGTGGGTTTTCAGGGAAAACAACAGCTTTCTGTGACTCTAGCTGAAAATTCAGTTTGGGAACAGGAAATTCTGCTGCAGTATCTCTTTAGTACTGTGATTGATGGACATTTCTGCGTGCTTTGATCTCTGTGTAATGATTGAAAGCGTTTGGTATGCGCATTCGTTATTATGATTGGAGGAACATCTTTTGAGTAAATTGTTAAAAGGGCATGCAGTAATGGGATTTTGGTCAATATTACATTTTTGTGAGTTAAAAAATCTTTGAATGTGCTGAATTTATTATGTATTGCAAAATGTTTTGGGTGGAGTAGGAGGAGGAGATTTGGCATTACTCATAGGCCTCCCAGCCATTCATTCATGTAGCAGGCTAAAAACGATTGATTTCTTCTGGAGTTCTTTTGGATACAGGCCTTGCAAATTGAAGCAGCTGAAATAGTCTGAAGTCATTTGTTCTGTTTTCTTTCTTCTAACTAACTATGCTATTTCCCAAAAGTGCCTGTGCCAGCGCTGATAGCTGCATTCACTCAGAGTGAAGTGAGAAAAATTAATATTTAATTAGAGCTACCATTATATGCTGTCTTCTGTCCATTAACTATTTGCTCATGGTAGCTTCTCTTCCACTTACGTTGATTTCTTCCGTTTGTCTGCTGTCATCTCTGGTGTTTTTCTGCTTTGCATCTCTTTGTATAAATCAGAGCTACGGTTCTTGCATTGAGATCTGCAAGGAGTTACATCAGTCATAGAAGAGTGTTTTAGGAATGCACACAGCAGCAGCGCCCTGTTTAATGACTTTAGGGAGCTTTCGGCAGCCCAGGCGAGCAGGAATTTTATCCTGCGCCTCCCAGTCGCACTGCTGTCTACTTGTGTGTAATCTCTTCTCCCACAGTAGCGTTGCCAGAGGATAGTACGTGGCAAAAGGAGAGGCTGGTGTTTTGTTACAGATATGAAATTCCTGTTCTGCTGTCTTCTGGGAAGTTGCTTCTTGCCGGAGACCAAAGGTTTTTGCGGTGCTTCAGGGAGCAGATTCCTCGCTGAGTTAGTTAACTTGAGAAATCCGCCCAACTCGGTGATGGCTCGTGCCCCAGTGGCTGTTACAGGACCCCGTTAGGCTGGCTGTGTAATTATCTCCCGTTAACTTGCCAAACAGCTGGGAAAATGTGTTACGGTAATTGTTCACTGCATGAACAGAACGCATCTCGTTGGCATCCTTGTCCCTGGACTGTGATGTAGTGCAGCATGTATCGCTCGATTTCGATTGCCTGTGGGCCTCTGCCCAGATCAACACGTATGAAAATGGTGCCGGTAATTGCACAGCCCAGCCTCGTGTGCTTGTGATGTTCCTCTTACCGTACTGGCCGCCTTTCTTGTTGGAAATTTGTCCAATACAGATATTGGTAGAAGAGTGCGTTGAACTTGTCCTTAGGACACCGTTCTTGAAACAGAATTTCAAGGACTGGTTTTCCTTTTGTAGTCAGATAGGTTTGAATCCCTGTGCTGAAAGATGATATATTTAGAGCTCAGTTTCCATAGATGCTGAGCAGTCTGAATTCCCACCCCAGCAAGTGCTTATTTTGAGCAAGTCTTTACAGTGCAACAGTCCTCCCTGGACTTTAACTGTGTCATTGCAAGAATTCCTTCTTTTGGTAGCTCTTGATGTTGCTTTGGTTTTACTGCTTTCCCATATGATTGATAGTCAGCTCTCTGCTAACTTTTTATCAGCAGCTGCAGCCGTTGCTTCTCTTTCTCTCAGAGTAGTTTTGCTCCTTGACTAAACCATGACCTCCACACACTTGTCATGGTGAGCAGAAATCCTATAGATAAAGATCCTGTAACTTTGGACTTTGTGGACCAGAGTCACGTATTTCAGGGGTTTAAAAGTTATCTTTTGTCCCCAGCCTTGTGCTCAGTCGCTGCACCAGAGACCACACGGTGTTGATCTTCCTGCCGGGCTGGCTCCAGGCCCTGTTTTTCCAGGGGAAGAGGAACCCATGACCTGAAGAAGTTGCCTGGCTTCCCCGCTGCCAGAATCACTGTCTGTTCTCTGCCTCAAGGACCAGCTGTGGGCTCTGCTCCCTCCATTGCTCTCTATCGCGGTTCATCCACTAATGCCTTCAACATTTCTCACTTCCATTTGTTTAAATCCTCAGGCCTAGGAAAACTCCTGCGTCAGAGAGTCCCCCTTCATTTTAAGACAACAGAGCCTGGGAAGTAAATGATGAAAACAGAATGATTGAGAGTTCAATAACCATTAATAACATTTGTAAGCCTGCCAGGCAAGGTTTCCGAGAACAACGTGTCCCAGAATGTCCTGGTTTATGGCAGAGCTGAAGTTGGGAAATTACTGAAATCATGCCTTTGTAAAGCACCACCGTGTAATGTTTGGTCTGTCCGGGTTAAATGCTCAATTCTTAACAGAAATAAAAACCAGTTTTCTGCTGGGTGTATCTGAACTACTGAGACTTGGAGGTTTAGTTATACTAGCATGTGAAACACGTTTGGTAGATAATTAATTCTGCCTGCGGATTTGAGGTCATGTGTGCTGATTTTCATGTGATTTGAAAAAGATTGGTTAAAGTAATAATTCCCTGTCATGCTGATCCACACCCTTCCTGCCCTTCTCCGTGGACTGAAATGACTTTGTTCAGAGGATGTATGCTCGCTCTCTTGGTTGGCGTTTCCCTCCTGGGGTCCCACCGCTGTAGAGGGAATCACTGCAGTCAGCCTATCCCTTTTATTATAAAACCCTGTGTTCTGTTATGGAGAATATTTAGATTTAACTTGGGTAAACCCCCATGGGGCTCCAGAGAACAGCCAGGAGCAAGCAGTGTTTCCTCTGCTTTACTATGCCTTGAGATTATGGTTTTTTTAACATTTACAGTATGAAAAATATTATACAAAACATTAATGCTTTGTTCAAACCGTGAACTAATCAGGAGGTGCGCTGTTTGTGAGGATTACTCAACATAGGTATGTAAAAGGGAATTGCATAGCGATACGAAAGCTTTAACTTCTGTGTGAATGCTGATGCCTTCATGGAGAAATGTTTTAGACGGATGTGCTACTGAGCATAAAAAAAGAGGTGTGATTTTTCTGCTTGGCATAGCCACCAGTGCCTTCTGAAGGAGGTCCTTTCGAAGCTCTTGCTGCTTTTTCCTTCAGAAAGCAGCCAGGAAATAACGCTGAAGCCCTGTGAGCTCTGCTTGCTGCACGTACCTACTGTCACGTGTTGTTTCCTAACCCTTGGACTTTTGTCTTCTACTTTGGCAACAGGTATGCTGTGGGGCAGCTCCTGCAAGACAAACACCCGCTATGACCACTTTGCACAAAAACCCCATGGGAGCAATATTTTTAGTTGTCTTTACAACAGAGGGACTGTCAGTCCTTGTAACTAATCCTCTTGTTGTCTCGTTGAAGACTGTATTTGTCTTGTATGTGCTGTCGGATCCGTTGTACCCAGGCAGACCTCGTGTTCTCCAGCCACGCTGGACACGTGCCTGGCGTGGGGCTGCTGAGAGGCCACGTATTCCCTGGAAAAGAAATCATCTGTGGGTGGCAGGGCTACGTTGTTCCCAGCACTGAGAGCCACGGGCTAGATGTGCTCCCCTGGGCACGCTGCCTGGGGCTGTCCTTGTGCTCCCTGATCTCAGAGCTGGGCTTTTGTGGATAAATGTATTTCTTGGTGCGAGAGTCAGCCAAGCATGAAACCTTGAGAGCCGTGTTGGGAAGTATAAGATGCATTGACACGTTAAACCTATGCCACCTTTCAGGGAGAAATCTGTACCCGAGAGCTGCATGGATGCTGCGGTACGCTCACAAGTCCAAACAGAGGTGCTGGACCTCAGCTGGCTGGGGCAGTGCGGCTAGCTGTACTGCTGCATCTAGGGTTTGCCCCTCATGCCAAGCTATTCTGAGTGGTGGTACGGGCTTTCTTCGAAAGACAGGGTTGTAATTTTCAACTTCCAAGCTACTAGAAAGGGTTAATGTAATAGTTGGGGGCACTTCTTAGAGGATGATGCTAGAAACTGGGACCGTTGTGTTTAATCCTTCAACAGTTTATTTTTGGTTCTATTAAT